ATTAAATATAAAAAATAACTTTTATCACGATATTCTTAGAACCTGTATCAAATGGACTACAATCAAACTTGAATTTTTAAAGTAGCTTCTGTTTTGGTTTCTAAAATCGCTCTATGGCGGAGGCATCATTATCAACTGCGTGTAGTCGAACATCCATCTAGTTTATACCAGCATCGCAAAGATCAAGATAATTGGGAGCTATCAGAGAGTATCAATTACCAGGATGTTTAACCCTCAAGTAGGTATTATTTCATGATGTTCAGCAACTTGACTTGTAATTCCAAGCGCGTGCGCATCGGGAAAGTATTATTGAAACATAATGTTGTAAATTAAAACTAAAAGAAGAAATGAAGAGTTTCATCACAAAACGAGTTAAGCGCAAAAATGGAGATACAATGTATTGCATTTTGCGACGAAACTCTTTAGATGTTTCTTGCCTATGGCATACTCTTACCAATGTATACATGAAAACATATAAATAATCATGATATAAATCCATGTAAATGTCATCAGAAAGAATTCTTTAAAACGCATCCATTTAAAAATACAATTAATACGACCATTATGAAGAGGTAACAAGACGCCGCACTGCTCAATTTTGTTTTGTTCAAGAATCTTCTTCCACATGTTTCACTTAACGATCAGTTTAAAACTATAACAGCACAATAATATTCGACGAATAATTAAAAAAAATTGAGATATAGTATTATTTTATTATTGGGAGTTGCTTTCATTCATAGGCAAATTTGTTCAGATATAGTAATGGAAAAAAATGAATAGTAATAATGATAACAAAGTTCCTTTGGATGAGGAAGTCTAGCATGTAAAGATGGATTTTAGAAAACAAAATAGTATGAAATTCTTTTGGATATTTTGAAAGAACATTATCGAGTATATCCCTCATTGCATGATAAGTTATTTTCCTAGCTAGCTTTATTTTCATTCTTGTTGAATGATTTTATTATCAGAATTTTTCCAACATCAATTTTTTGTGATCTTTCGAATATATTTTCACTTCGATAAGATGCATGAAATCTACAGCCTAGGAAACACACGCTCGATATTGGATACTCTTTGTTTTCTTGAAAAATCATTAAAATATATCAATAGATAATTTATAGACATGATAAGTAGATATTGGCAGATAGAGGAACACTAGACACTGATACTGATTTCAACACATTCAAGTTTACAACTACAATACCAGTAAAGTTATATTAGAGACTATTTATTGTTGTTTTATTTCATTCAAAAAGGGGAAAATTGAGAAAAATGTGAAATTACATAAAATAATGACAACATCATATTACGGTTATTTATTTTGTTCAGTTTGATTTCTTTGACATGTTCGATATGTTATTTTCATGTTCATAATCTAATAATGGTGAACAATGTATTTTACGGAAGAGAGGGAAAGCATTCGGCGTTGCTTCTACCTCAAAAGGAATTTTCTACTACCTTGTAGACAACATTGTTTGGCACGCATGCAGCCTCGTACTGCAACCGTATGAATATGCATGACTCTGTCGATTGTTGCGTTGTCGCAAACCAATGATAATAGCTGAGAATTTTGTTTTTACGCAACACAGCGCGGGAATCAAAAATATGCACAACAAGCCGCCTTTTGCTTCCCGGAAGCGTATTTTTTTCCCCACTTGAGCTTCCGACCCCAGTATGAACTCATTTGCATACAGCCAATCAGAGGCTTCACACACGTCCACGCAGCGCCTTGCCTATATCAGCATGCAAGGTGTGCGTGCATAATAATAATAACACTACTAATCTTTTAAAGTCCACTCCAAATTTGATTAAGTTAAACCAAAAATGGAAATTCTTTTTGCCCAATTGATGGTGAGCCCGGCAGCCACTGAGCAGCGCCAGATCGACGTTGCTCTATCCCTTATTGTTGAACGCCTAACAAGGTAACAGTAACTCCCGTCTAATTGATTGACTTTTATTCGACAAGTTTCCAACATACAACAATATACAAAAATAACAGATCAGAAATAAGTCAGCTTAAACAGGATAACCCACGAAAGCTCGAGAGCTTATTTCCAGTGGGATCCCTTACAGACATGTATAAATTAATAAGTTAAAATAGTAATATTTACAGACAGATAAGAAAATAAAAGAATTACTTATTAAAGATAATAATAATAAGAACATTGAACTGATGATAGAAACGATAATAAGTACAAGAAGAAAAAGAAGAAGGAGAAGAAGAAAGAGGAGGAGGAAGAAGAGGAAAATAATGATGAATTTGTAGAAGTTCTATAACGTACGAAAACATAATATATACAAAATGAAAAAGTATGAACCGGCAGAACAATACAAATTTCAATCATATAACATGTCATTCACTTCTCTTCTTTGACTGGCAAGTATGAGGTATTCCTTTAATTTCCTCTTAAAATGAGCGTAGTTTTCTATTTCCTGTACACAATTGGGAAGGGAATTCCAATGTTTTATGGCATTGTAATAAAACGAATTTCCAATACTTCCTACTCCTTCTGGTAAGTTAAAGTTGAATGGGCTATTTCTTGTATTATTATAATCATGTACGTCAGGTAACAAGATCCAAGTTGGATCGAATATAAAGATTCGATCTAGTATGATATATTTTATGCACGTGATGCAATACGAGTTGTTTTGCTTGCAAATGTTTCATTTCTGCTCTACCATCTCTACCATTTCTAAAGATTTTACGGTTGAGAATTTATCATAGATCTATACACCTCTAAAAGGCCGTGTAAAATTATTACTTAGCGCTAGATCAAAATTTAAATTATTCTAGCAATTAATGATAGGCCTATCGTAATCGAAGCCACCATATATAGGGACTAATTTCTAAAAAAATTATGGTTGAGAAATTTATTATAGATCTACAACTCTAAAAGGCTCTAATAATATCACCTTAAGAAACTGCTGTGATGTTCTCAGGTAAGAATTCCTGCAAAAAAAAAAGAAGTAAAAAATAAAGCTGATATTATTAGAGCCTTTTAGAGGTGTATATAGTCTTGATCTATAATAAATTCTCAACCATAAAATCTTTAGAAATGAGTCCCTATAAATATATAGTGGCTTCGATGACGAGAAAGGTCCATCCTTGATTGCTAGAGTAATTTCAACTTAGTTCTTAGTAACAGTTTTTCACAGCAATTTGATAAGCTGATATTTGTGGATCTGTAATCAATTTGCTAAAGGTAGAGATGCTAGAGCAGAAATGAAACATTTGCAAGTCTATGCCTATGCATGCTGATACAGGCAAGGCGCTGTGTGTACGTGTGTGAAGCTTTGCACCGTTTCGAATTTCACATCTTTAGCACGCATTAAGCTTGTTATTGACAAGATGAGCTCTGATTGGCGTTATGCACATGAGTTCATACTGGGTTCCGGAGCTCAAGTGGGAAAAAATCACGCTTCCCGGAACGGAGAATATATAATGCTCATAAATATGCATACACAGGATGCGTCTCATCCAATTGGGCATTTCTAGGCCTAACCATATGCATGCGAAAGCAACGCCTTCATGGCAACTGGGTGTCCATTCGCCATTCCAAACCGTATCAAAGAGTAGTCAGGCGTTAGGTCAAACCGTAAGAAACGGTTTCACCAAAAAAAGAAGACATGTAATCGTATTATAATATTAATGATTTAAATAATTAAACCTTCAAGAAAAGATAAAGATGACAAATGTAGGTATTTTGGCCGATTGGTCTTTGTGATTTGCTGGCGGACAACTTTACCATTTGTTCCAACACACAAAATGACTAAAACGCAAATTTTCGAAAAATGTATAACTTGGGATGATCTTTCATTTTTATAGGACCTGTACAATAATCTCCATCACATATTTGAGAAGTGCCCCCAGGGTGAAGGCACTTGAGAGAAGAAACATAAATTAGTGATATTTTTGTACACGACAAATGAAAGAGTTATCTGTTATCCGCTGACAAAATTGCCAATTTGAGATCCACATAATGTGTAACGATCTCTTTTTTCAAAATATCATAACAGCACTGGTCTGATTTAGTTCAAAGTTTCGCCATTTTGTTTCTCTGACTTTTCCGCTCAATTCACTAATTCACTGTGACACTATGCTGACGTTGCACTGCATTGCCTCTGTACTTTACATATGGCACAGCCAGGGACTGGCAGAGCTAGGCTCTGTACAAGGCTTGATAATTTGTGTTTAAGTGTTAAACTAGAATCTGTGCCTGCAAACTAAAGATAATATGAGAAGAGTTTTGAGAAGCGTTCGTCTGAGATCTTAAAATGATCAAGCTTTGTTTGCTTTGGTTAATAAATAGATGTTCAAGGAATGCTGTCTCGGCGGAATGATTGAAGAAAACACACATGGGAAATATGTTTGTACTGTTTGTAATGAAAAATGTTTAACACCGACAGGAACATATAAGAATAGCTTAAACCTACTATACAAATTTGAACTCCTACCTTTCGCCACAAAAATGCTCCATAAAACGAAAACCCCTCTATCATGTATGTCAATCTTGCCGTCTTTTTTCAGCTTCCAACTTTCAACCATACATACGTTGGTGATCAAAATGTCCCCATTGTGCAGTTTATTTGTTTGTTTGATGTTATTTCTGTTTTGTTCAACATAGGCCTAATAAGAATTATTTATACAAACTAGTTACATACATTATTAACAAAAGATACAAAAACCATTATAATCATATCATAATATTAATCAATTAGATAATCATACTTTAAAAATTATATAGTTTATAAAAGCGAGAGCTTGAACGTGATAGCGGCCTCAGAAAAGGTACCTATACACGGGCCAAACAGGGCGACCAATCTTATAATCAGAAATTGATTAATCATAACGGCCGCATAATGAAGATATTCAATCTTTCAGAAGGTATAAAATAAATTCCATTAAGTTTAAATGTTTATATTATAAGCGTATTTCTTTTAAAAGGAAAAGTGTTATTTATGTTCTTGTTTATGTACATGTATGTGCAAGTGTGTGTGCTAGTGCCGGCTTTGGAGCGCTTATTAGATTATGATTTGTATGCTGATAATAATTTATGCTTCATGGCAGCCTTGAAAGAACATAGTACATGATCATTCACGGACACACCACGTCTTTTACTGGTATATTTTCAACTCTTAAGAGATGTATTGATGACTAGACCTAGACGCGATGGCATCGTTGAGTAGATCTCTAGTATAATACTGTCTAGATTGACGCCCAATACCAACACAACTTTCAACAAAATAAGAGGTTGATAATCAGAAATTCTCTGTGTTTCTCGTAATTCACGGATATTCGCGGTCATTGGTAGCCTCCTGTCCTTATTTGAGAGGAAAATAAGCAGCCTTTTGCTGGTATTTTTCAAATCTTGAGGGATCTAAGGAGTAGATCATGTCAGCTAGGTCCGGATGAGTTTGTCAATAAATATGGCTGTAATGAGGAGGACTGCATCACATCGATAATCACTGACGTTCATCAGTTCTTTCAGCAGCCGAAATTAAGTCCACAAAGGCAAACTAAACGTAAGTATTGACTAATTTGTAAGTACTAATACGATTCTTTAATTATTCAATTCAATTCAATTCAATTCAATTCAAAGTAAAATTTATTTTCTCCCTTTTCTGTTTCCATATCAACAAAATGAATAAGTTTATCACCATACCCATTCGCATAAGCAATTTAACATGGTATCAGTTTTAATACAGGGAAGACGGCGGACTTTTTAAAAGTATATACCATGGTTGGATACGCTCATATTAATACAATATATAAGAACAACAAGAAGAATAGAATAAGAAAGGAAAAGAATGGAAAGTGGAAGGGGGTATCAATAAAACCAGTAAAAATAAGTAATTGGATTCTTTTTTCCCTTTTGCTTTTACTCTCTCTCGGCTTGGGGAGAGCAGAAGAGATGATTAATAGATTAAAGGTACTAATCGAAAGTATCTTTGCATTTATTAACACGATCGCAGAGGCTTTCAACAAAACAAGCTCGGGCAATTACACTGCGCGAACATGACAAGAAAATATCCAAATCATGACAAGCTAATCTGAACAAGATTTCTATGTTTGATCATCATTGGTCATAACCTGGGTTACACTATTGTGGCATTTCAATCTCTTGCAAAGAATCTTAACTTGTCTAGAATATTCAGCGGTGGACAAGGAATGTTCTTGCCGGGGACTAGGAAGAAGTCCCCGAATTTCTTTCGCGGAAAAGAAGAAAAATGCCTTTGGTAATTAAGATGTTATTTATCTGAGAAAAACGACACTTCTCTTTTTCATTATGAGTCTGCAGATATTAAAGGATTGGCTATTACATTGCTAGGTGGTTTGAGGTCTGGGTCCAAAATTCCCGGCGAGGAGGTGGTACCCCCAACAATAGGCAATTTTTGCAAACTCATTGCGGAATTAGAATCTGCGGTTCGTGTGCAAAATCGAGAAGATACTATAGTAACAGTTGGATGACCGCTGAGGCCCTGAAATCTAGAACGGGTTTTGGCCAAATCCACGGGCGTTCTCAATGACGCCCCAAGTGAATCAAGTGCCTCGATACAAACTATTTCATTCACCTGATAATAATAATAGTATTTAAATAGACAGAATCCATTCTGCATACATTAGTTGTTGCCACACTTAATACATGCAGTTTGCATTCTGACTATTGCGAATCCTAGACAGGTGAATGAAATAATTTGTATTGAGGAACTTCACAAAGACGTATGTATTAAATTTGATTACATTACGAAAATGGCCTGTTCCCTTCCACGCAATACAGTACAGACGGGACTACACGACTAGCACAACGTACTTGTCTCGACCAAGCCACAAAACGGCTTTTTATCAAATTTCAACAATAATTTATCATCAAGTTTTAAAATAATTCATGTTATATCCATATTCATGTTGTTATTGTTCAGAAACAATTATCGGAAGAAACAAAACTCACCGAAGAGTCATTTGTGTCAGGGGCGGATCTAGGGGGTTAGGAGGTTTAAATCCCCCCTTGCGCTGGCCAAGGTGCTTTCTACCCCCCCCCCCGAAATATTAGTTGGCACTTTTTTCAAATTGAAAACAAATTTTAGCGCTCCCTACCCCCCACTAAGCGAAATATTGGTCGGCGCGATTTTTCAGATGTCAACGCTGATTGGCTGTTTATTCACTTGGGGCGTCATTGAGAACGCCCGTAGATTTGGCCAAAACCCGTTATGGATTTCAGTACCTCAGCGATCACCCTGCTGTTACTATAGTAGCTTCTCAATTTTGCACACGAGCCGCAGATTCTCTGTCCGCAATGAGCTTGCGAAATGTTTGTCGAACTGGCAACAACTAATGTATGCAGTTTGGATTCTGTCTATTGAAATACTATTATCCTTATCAGGTGAAAGAAATATTTTGTATCGAGGCACTTCACAAAGACGTTTGCATTAAATTTGGTTACATTACGAAAATTGCCTAATGGCATTGCAAATGCAATACCTCCGTAGGGGTGGGAGGGGCTAACGTTCTATAAGTACACTTATTGTTTGCCAGATAGAACATAAATGATTAGTGGTTCTTGGGTAAAACTTAAAGTCGTTAATTTGGAATCGTTTCTCACTCTTCTTCTTTGACTCGTCAGTTATCAACATGAAGCTTCTGCTCGCATCAATGGTCCTTCTAGCCGTAGCATTTCACGGCTTAGATGCCAATGTGTATCGTTCATGCCCCCAGTTCTGGCTTTCATTTAACGGGAACTGCTTTTCAGTTTTTAAGATAAACTTTTGTTTAACAAATGTATGCATAAATGTGTTAACAAGTCCATTGAAAAGCTGCATCAGTCGCACTTTATGACTAAATCCGAAAGGAATCTTCTTTTTTAAACTGTACATGCGTATCACTGCCAAATGTGAAGCAGTTTTAAGTTGGACGAAATGCGACTCGGCGACATCTTAACTCGTCTGAATCTCCAATTACATATTGATGAATTAATCTTCATCCGACAAAGTTTTGTTTGGGTTCAAAATTCATGGTGAGGAGGTTGTACAAACAAGAATTACACCTTTTTTTTTTGGCGGGGGGGGGGGGGGGGCGTACTTTGAGTGCACTTAAGATTAAACATACATGATTAGTAATTCTTGGGTGTATATTGAAGGGTTCTAGGACAATCACCCCCTGGGCAATAACCCCCCGGAAAATTACCCCCCGGAAAACTACCCCCAAAGGACAATTACCCCCTGGAAAATTACCCCCCGGAGAATCACCCCCCGAGGACAACTACCCCCAAAGGACAATTACCCCCCGGAAAATTACCCCCCGGACAATTACCCCCCTAGGACAATTACCCCCCGAGGACAACTACCCCCCGAGGACAATTACCCCCCCGAGGACAATTACCCCCCGAGGACAATTACCCCCTAGGACAATTACCCCCCGATGACAACTACCCCCGATGACAATTACCACCGAGGACAATTACCCTCCGAGGACAATTACCCCCTCGAAAATAATTACCCCCGAGGACAATTCCCCCCGATGACAATTACCCCCCGAGGACAACTACCCCCGTGGACAATCAGGATTCAATAGCAAAAGACGATCTGACACATTAAGAGATGGCTACGAGCCCATAAGATCCCCTGCATGAACCCATATTCTTCCTCATTACTACACATTTCCCTTTTATTATAATTTATGCAACACCAGTGCGGTTGCTAATTTCCACGAGGATGTAAGTTTTAGGTAATTATCCAGCGCTTTTCAAAATGCATAGAAATACATTTCTCTGGAGCAGCGTTATTTTAACTTTTTGTTAGTCACGGTACCCTCTTAAGAAATGAAAATTTTCTCCCAAATCCCAAAGTCTTTACAGACTATTAATTTTGCTCTGGTTCTCGTCAAGTGCTATGGGCACATTTAAGAATAAAAAGGAGAAGACATTTTCAAACTGGTAAAAAAGTAGTTTGTAATCCACACACTAGAAACTATTTAAAGTACTAACACCTTGCCGCCGAATGTACATAAATAAAAAGTGATATATTCGGTCATGACCTTGATACACGACTATGAGGATATTCGGGCCTCTCGTTGCCCTTATTTGCCTTTCTGTCAAAATATTGTCAGCGAGCGAGGAAGGAAGACACTTTAGTATCTTCAAAATGTTATTTACTCATGTAATTATATATTTTAACCGTTTCTGGTATTTGATTTTTTTTATACAAAATCAACGTTTTCCAAATCGTTCTCTTGCGGCACCCCGGTTGAAAAACGCTGTGCTGAGTTACAAAATCGAATGAGATGAATTACCAGAGAGCGGATATTTATTTTCTTTTGACATGGCACCGTACATATAACTTGAAGGCAATTTCTATTTCAAAATAATTCAACGTACACGAAAACATATTATACTTCAGCAAGTTCAGCATGACAACAGAAATAAATAGATAACGTGAAGAAAACCTTAATTATGGATCATGGCATGGATGAGGGCCCATTATACATACAAAGACAAATACACGATCAGCTGATGAAAAAGTTACAGAGGATGCATGAAGGAAATCTTACATCCTAATTTCTTAGTTGTGCCATAGATGGTGAGAGAGGCTGTAACGCGTACTCATCTGTTCGCAATGTATTGTTCAGTTTCTAAGAAATGTAATTTCTGTTCTTGACTCGGTAGCAAAACTACAGGGGAATTGGGCAACCTCCACCCCCCATATCGAATTGAATAATTTGAAAAGACTGAATAACCAAGAAAATGAAGGTTTATGCAATTTTCTGTAAATAGCAATTTGGAGAGAAGCTTGCGTTATACGTCACAGTGTTATAAATTCCTCGAGTGTGATTGTCATGGGGGGGGGGGGGGTAGTTGTCCTCCGGGGGTTATTGTCCTCGGGGGGGGGGGGGGGTAGTTGTCCTCGAGGGTAGGGTTCCTGGGGGATAGTTGTCCTCGAGGGTAATAATAATAATAATAATAACGTTTTATTGACCCAGGGTAGCCACTTCAGTTATGAAACTGCTCTTCCAGCGGGCCCTGCATAATATAATATGTTATTATACTACCCTTCTCCAATCAAATATGCAGAGCGCCTAGCTAGAAGGCAGAAGGACCCATTGTTATAAGTCTTTGGTATGACTCGGCCGGGGTTCGAACCCACGACCTCCCGTTCATGAGGCGGGCGCTCTAACCACTGATCAACCATACCCAGAAGTGTCCATGGGGGGTAATTGTCCTCGGGGGTAGTTGTCCTCGGGGGGTAATTGTCCTCGGGGGTAGTTGTCCTCGGGGGGTAATTGTCCTCGGGGGGTAATTGTCCACGGGGGGGGGGGGTAGTTGTCCTCGGGGGGTAATTCTCCGGGGGGTAGTTTTCCGGGGGGTAATTGTCCTTGGGGGGTAATTGTCCTCGGGGGGTAATTCTCCGGGGGGTAATTTTCCGGGGGGTAATCATCCTACGGGGGTAGTTTTCCGGGGGGTAATTCTCCGGGGGGTGATTGCCCAGGGGGTAATTGTCCTGATACGATATTGAAGTCGCTAATTTGTAATAGTTTCTCACTCTTCTTCTTTGACTCTCCAGTAATCAACATGAAGCTTCTGCTCGCATCAATGGTCCTTCTAGCCGTGGCATTTCACGGCTTAGGTGCAGATGTGTATCGTCCATGCCCCCAGTTCTGGCTTTCATTTAACGGGAACTGCTACCGTTACTTCGGGGAGCGGGTCACTTGGGAAGAGGCTCGGGATCGCTGCAGGGATCACTTCTCCTTCAACGGACGGGCTGATTTAGTATCCATCCACACGGAACAGGAGAACGCCTTCGCTTACGAACTTTTCCGCTCTTCTGCAGACTTTACAACGGATTATGTAAATATGGATGACCTACTTTAGCTTAGACTGTTAATTAATAGGAAATCTAACCTTGGTAGCAAACTGCTCTAGAAGAAATCACGATAATCAGAGAAGCACACTGGTTGAAGTTTGAAAGAAATCGGACAAAACTTGAGACAGTTATGAATTTTAAAATTTACAATCACTATCGGAGTGGGTTATACAAATTGGCTGAATCGGTATTTAGTGTCTATGTGATGTACTAGCGGACAACTTTCCCTCTTGTGCAAACATACAAAATGACTGAAATTTCAATTTTTGAAAAATGTATGACTTGGGATGATCTTTTCTTTTTAGAGGACCTTTAAATAATGTACTCTCCATAATATATTTTGACTAGTGCCCAAAGGGTGAAGGCACTTGGGTGAAAAACAGAAATCAGTGATACGTTTGTACACAACAAATGAAAGACTTATCCGTCACTACCGTGTGAGTCAAACAAAGTTTAAGCCTACACCTATAAAATTGCTAATTATTTTAAAAATCATCTATGAACAGTAAATTATTATTCACCTTATGAAAGAGTGTTTTATCCCGAATCATTTTGGTATCATTTTTGTGTGGTATGTGTTCACGCTTGGATGAACAGGAGACATTGTTTGCGAGAGTGCGAAAATCGACTTGCGCTAAAGTTGCTTATGTGATGTTTGAATTAAAAAATGGGATTTGGGTATTTAATCGGTCATTGCAGATCCAAATAACATCCCAAACAAAATTAATCATGCCACACATATCAAATATCGAATATCACATATCAACGAACATTTGTGCGCGCGTGGGTGCGTGCGTGTGTGTGTGTGTGTGACTTTGCTTCTGCAAAAAGCATATGCAATTAATCTCATTTGATACATTAAATTCATTCTCTCACTTTAATCTCAACATATCACATACTGTAGGCATCACTTTGGCGCCAGTCGATTTTTGCACTCTCGCAAACAATGCCCATACCACACCAAAATGATACCAAATGATTTGGGGTAGAACGCTCTTTCATAAGATGTATAACAATATACTGTTCATAGATGATTTTTAAAATAATTAGCAATTTTCTAGATGTAAATTTGTGTACTGACTCACACGGTACATCACAATCCACTGACAAAATTGACAATTTGAGATTCGGATAGCTGTAGTGATCTCATATTTTCATATATTCATAACTTTGTTATTATTGGACCGATATATTTCCAACTTTCGCCATTCTGCTTCTCTGGCTTTTATGCTTTCATTCAAATGAACGTATTACATGGGTTGGATTGCTTTTAACAAAAAATGTTTCCTGGGTATGGCTTAGATAGAAGGGTTAGTTCCGTTTAAAGATAAACTTGAGTTCTGGTAAAAAAAAAAAATTGAATTCTCACAGAATCTAACGAAACTTACACTGAATGTTAAAGATTACAAATAAATGTCATGTGCCAAACAATTTTGGAAGAAAATGTATACTGGCTGAGTGATGAGCATAGAAAGATAAGGAAATCAAGGTAGTACTAGTCCCGACACCATTTGTGTTGTCCCATATACATCTTTATGTGTATAGTGATTGTTACGTTACCAAGACTGGGCCAAATTTATGATGATTTTGATTACTCCAGAACCTTGCAGTACACACCAATACTTACATGCTATATGATCATTTTTTTCTGATCCATTCCACACCTTTTCTTTCACAATGCAATCGCATTACCGGAACTCACCTTTATCTTTAAGGTGTGTCTAGCTTATGTGTAACGTATGCCTAACGTATGCCTAACTTATGAAGAGGACGTCGGCATGCGCAAGTACAAATGTCCCCTGATAGTACAGCACCCAAATTGGCCAACTCGGCTTCATTTGGTGATACTCTAATGCACATTATTTGTGTTTTCCCAACAAAACAATACAGAATCTTTGTTTACACGGCTCCGAGCAATAACTTACAAGGACGCCCTCTGATGAATGCAAAAAAAAACAAAACAACAACAACATAATATATAGTAGCGATGTAACATGTAAAGGGGAAAAATACATTAGGTTTATTAGCTATATAATGATACAGAGTTTAAGTAAGAGAGAGAGAGGGGAGAGAGAGAGGGGAGAGGGTGTAAAGAGAGCGGTATAGAGAAATAATGAGAGAGAAAGAAAGAGAAACAAATGCAGAGAGAAAGAGGGGAGAGAGAAAAACAAATAGGAGCTGACTTAGTACATGTAGAATATTTAAGATTTTAGTACGAGGGTTCTCTGGCAATATATATACATATACACACTGTATATATGTGATTTTTTTTTTTATGGGATAAATAACATAAAATCACTTTAAGTAAAGGCTGTTTTATAGCGACAAAGCAGAAAACACTTTGACGTGCCTTTTAATATGATTAATTAATAATGACGGATAATTCCAGTGAAAAATAACTTGCAAGTAGTATTTGAACACATGAAACGTAAGAAGGAAAGGGGCACGTAACCCCCCCCCCATCGAATTAGGGGGGAAAAGAAAGAAAGAGCAAATAGAGAGAGGGGAAAGGGGGAAGGGGATAGGGGAGGGGGAGAGAAAGAGAGACAGAAGAAGAGAGAGAAAGAAAGAAAGGGGTAAAGAGAGAAACAAGTTGCAGGGAAGGGAGAGTAGATGAAAGGGTGAAATGGCGAATATAAATCGTCCTCAGAATTTATTAAAATTCGTGACACTACAACGGCATATTGTTCTATTCATTTGAACCGTCAAGAGTATTGTTTTCTTTTCCAATGTCCCACCATGCTAATGTTATAGATTACGGGGAACGGCGTTTGAAAGCCAGCCCTGCACTAATGTTCTTTGGCAAGTCATTAATCTATATTTGCCACTCTCCACCCAGTAATCAATGGGTAGTAAGCCCTGGTTACGTTGGCGGCTTGGCTATAACCAGGGTAATAATGTATAAGTGCCATGAGCATCACAGTATCTTTTGTTCCTAAGGTAGTTTTTAAGGAAAGTGGTTCTAAAGCCAGCCAGCCCTGCACTAATGTCCTTGACAAGAAATTAATCTATATTTGCCACTCTCCACCCATCCGTTGGCGGTTTGGCTATAACCAGGGTAATAATGTATAAGTGCAACGAGTAACAAGGCGCCACGGATATGAGCGCTATACAGTGCGACCCAGAAAAAACGACACCGAGAATTATCTATGTTTTTTCATAACTTAATCACAATTATAATTAAAAAATGACACATATTTATAAAGCTTAGATCCTCTTCTTTCATTTGATGCAACTCATATGATGCATATTTCACGCATGAGTGATTAAAGGCACACTGTCATACTTGTAGCTTCTTGCTCCCTCTATATAGAAAACTTCCCCAATCGGTGCCTGTTGGTCCCCCATGATCCTCTTGTTCTTATGTTACATGAGAGCTGAGTTAATGAGATAGCCACCTGTCACAGTGACCTCGCTGGCTCGCTGGGCGGTCTAATCCCTTCTGGCTGAAGTAGTAAAGTCTGCCTTTAAAAGCAATTTGAAGGAAGGAAGGAAACCAAAAAGTCATTTAGCGGGCGGTATCTGAATTTCGAAGAAAAATTCACATTTCCAGAAAGTACATTTTCTGCTCTTTCATATGACACCTCAATCAGGAAAATATAAGCCAGGAATAACAAAGTTCTGTTTGTTTAAAGTGATGCTTGCATTTCCATAATTTGATTTAACAAGTTCGTTTTCACTGGCTACCTGCCGTAGCAACAAGCAGATTCGACAAAAGACTTAACTCCGTTTCATTGACAATCAGCCATGCATGAAGCCTTTCGTCTATGTCTCATCGACAACGAGACGGAGTTAAAGTAGATATTCATTGATTTTAAAAACTAACTTTATTTTCATTATTGCAAAGTTGAAACTTTGATTCGACAAGGTTATAATTAAATTTGAAAGTCTGGTTTCTTTGATTGTTAATTAACCCCTATCCTGTGTATTTACAAGCAAAATATTTAAGTTATCGGAATCGGGTCATATCCCTTTTTGAATGGTTTGACATGCCATTTCATTTATATGCACTAAACTCATCATAATTTGACAAATAATAGCTTAGCAATTATGTTCATTCTTTATGGGATGTCGTCTGCTTGGGCAGTATTGATCCATATTGTGACGTAATTAACACATCGTTATTTTTCTGGCGAATCTCTCGTATATCCCAGCTGCTATGGAGGTGGTTGTATTTGTATTTTTATAAATCATCCGTTATGTAGTTGACCTAAAACTTGTACGATGGCCAAGCTTACCAGTTTCTAGTGATGCATTAGTTCATATATTTGTGATTTTCTTTGAATTTCACCTTTAAGTCTTTTGTTTGTTGCTACGGCTGGCAGCCAGTGAAAACGAATTTGTTTGATCAAATTATGGAAATGCAAGCATCACTTTAAACAAACAGACCTTTGTTTTTTCCTGGCTTATTTTTTCCTGATTGAGGTGTCATATGACAGAGCAGAAAATGAACTTTCTATAAATGTGAATTTTTCTTCGAAATTCAGATACAGCCCGCCAAATGATTTGTTGGTTTCCTTCCTTCAAATTGCTTTTAATCACTCATGCGTGAAATATGCATCATATGAGTTGCATAAAATGAAAGAAGAGGATCTAAGCTTTAGAAATATGTGTCATTTATTAATTATAATTGTGATTAAGTTATGATAAAACATCGATAATTCTCGGTTTCGTTTTTTCTGGGTCGCACTGTATAAGAAGCCATTATTACTTGCAGTTCATAAACAATAGTACATTCACTTTTCTTCTGATCTAAACCTTTCTTCTGATCTGATTGTAATGATTTTTTTTTTATTACTTTGGTGTTGTTGTCCTGGACAGGGTGCTTGGATTGGTGCCTACCAGACAATACAAGACGGACCTTTCATTTGGTCTGATGGATCTGGTCTAAACTTCGAGCGGTGGTTGCCGGGTGAGCCGTCCAACAGTGGTAACATTGAGGACTGCGTCCATTTGTGGCGTAGGAACGCAGGGGATGAAATCCCCCGGGCTTGGAACGACCGTCCCTGTGGAAGGGACACGCCTTTCATTTGTAAGGTGGTGCCAAATTAGAATTCCCAGTTGGCTGTACCCTGAATTCGAAGCTTCCTTGATATATCTGTATGGTTAAGACTACAATTTGAATTCTTTGACAACATTCTGAAAACCTTGGAAACTAGTAGGGCTATTGTAACGTTCAGGGGGTAAAGCATGCTTGACCAATTCTATTTTCCACAGTCCATTAGTCAGTCTTTTGTGTTTTTGCTTTATTGCAAGAGACAAATTGACAGTTTGGGAGAAGTTTACATTCAGATTCTCTTTCTAGTTTAGTATACAAAATCCGTCACATTGTTAAACGGTTAAGGCTCCTTCACAGATCCCGCCATATTAATCAACCATTTTTATTATTATTATTATATATATTTTTTTTTTTGGGGGGGGGGGTGTATGGCACTTCAAGCCCTTTAAAATACATGTTCAAAGTACATTTCTGGAGTCAATTTGGAAAGGTTGATTACAAAGTATTTGAGAATTGCTGTATACGCTGAGGTTAATGGAGTCATCAAAATGATGGAAAAAGAGATTCGATTTTAGTCACGTTCAGTGCTCACGGAAATGGGTATATGGGACACTCACGTGTACTGTGGCATGTAAGTTTGGTTTAATATTTTCAGCTATTGCTCGTAATATTTCAGAATTAAAGGCATTTGCAGAGCGATTCATATCAGATGAAATTGTTGCCATGATATTATTAAAGCTAAACAAAATTAACACATTAAAACGAATGAGAAAACCCCAAAAGTCTTACCCCTGTATTACCAGAACTCAGCCTTCTCTCCACGAGCGAATGCAATGTCAATAAGATGCTAGACCCCTATTGAGTACTTCGGATATAATTAAGAAGGATACTTTTAATTGGTTTCAGACTTTTGTCATTGTGTTTAACTGTTGTTCTGGAATTCTAGTCATGTAACTTAGCGTCTGTAGATAAGAGTGAAATTTAATCTCACAGTTTTTTTTAATATCTTTGCCATGGAAATCTATAAAATGTGATCGGATAGATTATGCTTCTTGACATTAAAGAAATATTTTATGAAAAGGTGAATTATTGTAACGTACCACTGATTATATGTTTCATTATCTTTTCTTTGTTTGTTAGTGTTTCCTTTCTTTTTCTTATCGCACTTACTGCAACATATTTCCTTTCTACTGTTCGACTAAGCCAACATTATTTCATTGTCTGATAGCTGGAGTAAATGAATTACAGGCCATATCTAACATTATTTCTTGTTTGTTTGTTTGGTTATTTTTATTTACGATTGCTTTCAAGGTTATTTATGAGTGAGGATAGTGATGAGGACTGAGTATGAAGAGAGGGATGTATAAAGTCGATCAGATACATTTATTTCGTCTATGTACGAGAGCATTTGTCAAGTAATCTATGGGTTAGATGTTCCCTGCATGATTCACTCATTTCGGACTTGATTTCATGCGTTTAGGACTAAAGACTTTCTTCAAACTAGATCTTGACTATCATAAGAAGTTCAAGCGAAAATAATTTGTTGTTATGGGAGCCATGTACTGCATATTATACCCATCGTTCCCTGGTACCCCCCGGCAGGGCTCTGCCCTGGACACAAGCCGTACGGACAGAAGTGAATCCCCATGACAACAATTTGATGTACAAAGTTATCCTTATGAGAGAAAGAGTGCGTGTGTGTGTTTCTATCGATCAAGACGGCTATCTTTAAAGTTCTGACAATGCCGAAGTGCTCTAATTCGAGAGCTTTCACAAGCTCACGAGTCACCACATCCCCAAGGAAGGACCTCTCTTACGCGCTCGCAATGCGTTTTGCGCAAACGTTTGCTTCGTACCCCCCCCCCCCCTTTGGGGGAAAATTCCGGATCCGGCAATGCAGAGATGAATAGCCATTAACTTGTGACCATGGCATAAGTTAGTAGAAGAGGAACTTGTAACATACCAAGGAAAAGAAGTAAGGGAAATTCATCATTAAAAAAAAAAAATGGGCGTTTAAAACGTTAAAAATAAACTTTTGCTCGCGTTTATCGATTGCCCCAGATAATGGATTAATATGGCATTAGTCCAGAAACTAGCCGGTTTTTATATTTTCTCTCTGCGACATTATCTACACTTCCTTCAACATCAACGAATTCGTACGCCCACGTCACGTCATCTTCTGATTGCAGCAAGTACGGGGAGATCGGAGTGGTGGAGATTATTCAATATTAAATCGATCAGATTCTGCATCAGTGACGGTATTTATTTCGGTAGGCATTATTTAATCAGTAGTGGAGGCATGTTTCTAAAAATAGCCACAACCCTAACATTAACCCTACTTGATGCACATGGTAGTGTAGGCAAAGCATGAGGTGACAAATAGCTACATGAACCATTTCGCTACATGTTTTTTTTTAAAGAGAAACATGCACTGACTGAATGATCTGATTTATCCGGTGGTTTCCATCTTGCTTTTTTTTGTCGTAAATTGATTTTACAACTCTATTTAATTTGGGGAGATAATTTGAAGGGCAAATAAATCTCGTCTTTAAACCTTACGGGTATTTCACGACTTTGGTGAACAAATAATTATTATCGATCCATTTTTACTACAATCAAAGTCTAATAAAATGAACAGAAATCTAAATTCGAAATACTATTGCATAAAAGTACAATGCTATAAAACTGGCGTACACTAAAGGAGAGCTTTGGGAGCTGTAATAAATTATTTTGTCATTGAACTTGAAACACGTACAAGCAAAGAAGAGTTAAGTTTGCAGGAACAAAGCCTTGTCAGTCACTGTGCGTAACAGTGTCTGTACTGTGAGACTATGCTGATGACTTTCTGCGTTGCTTCATTACGTTTACATGTGACACAGGCAGGGACTGGCAGAGCTATGTCAAATTAGAATCTGTGCCTGCAAACTGAGAATAGTTTGAGAAAGGTTTTTAAAAGAGTAAAGAAGTTTTGTTTTTGTTTTTGCTCGTATGATTATGATTATAAAGAGCCATCTTTTACCTTTAATTTAATCAAACAATTATTGACATTCTTCTGTTTGATTGTATATTTGTTTTTTTTTTCGCTCCTTCTAAAATCACGCATCAATATCTTAATTTCATTCATTACCGCAAAAGGGCACACTTGGTAAGGAACAGTGGAAATTGTCGGTAAAAAGTTGTACTTTTCATATGGCAATTATTAATAATAAAAAGGGACGTTAATTAAAGTAACAGGGGTGTATTAAAATGGGGTACTTTTAGGAAGGTAAAGGGGCAATTATTATAAAGAAAAAAGTGGCACAATTCAGAAGGCAAAAGTCACTTATTTGAAAGGAAATGGGCACTTATCATACCAAAAACATGGGCTATCATCAGAGATGAAAAGGGGCACTTTACTACAAAGGAAAATGAACACTTGTCAAAGTACAAGGCACCTATCAGATTTGGATAGGGACACTGATCTTAGGTGAAAAGGGACACTGGGGACAAAGGGGACAAAGGGAAAGAGGCGCTTATTATGAAGAAAATGGAACGATTTCCATACGTAAAATGGGCACCGTTGGGGTACTTGAAAAAGTGAAGCTCTATTTTTTCTCTCTTTCTTTATTATTACTTAACTTTTTTCTCTTTCATTTTTACTTCCAATCCTTTCTTTCTATCTTTCAAATTATTTAACTTATTTAATTTTCTTTCTGGCTTACTTTCATGTTCTTCGTCTTTTTTTCATCTGTTTTGTTCATTTTTAATTAATTGAAACGCCCAGTAAAATCATGTGTGGCATAGAGGGATTCAACTTTTTTGCACCCAAAGTTTTCCGGCGGACTATCGTAGTGTTTTTTTTTTCTTGCCCCAAAGCGGAATCTAATAGCTTAAAAATAATATTAAACACAACATCGGTACAGAACAGGTCATGACCTCCTGGGTCATAAGATAAAAGGAAAACATGCAATATCCTGGCTCTTCAAACCTCCTGATGATTTTCTTCTAAAGCAACAAGGAATGAATAAAACCATGGACCTACTACGCTAAAACGAATTGTTTCACGGAACAAGTATTTGCATTTTCACGTGAAAAAGAAAGGGTTTCAATGGGATATATTCCCTAGTGAATACTATATAACCAATGACAGGAGGAGGGGAATTACGACAGGGCCCTGTGGGAATGATTTTTTGTTGTTAACTAGGGAAGCTGAGGAGCACAACTGACGTCCGAAAATTCAAGGCCAGGCAAAAACAGAACAAACAAAAACAAAAAAATTAACCAAACAAAATGTGAAAATTAAAACAAATGAGAACACGAAATCAAACTAACACACAATGAAATGTCACCTCGATCTTGGGGGGGGGGGGGGGGGGGGGGGGCTGTGTAGCACCTGAAAAAGGGCCTTCACTTCCGGCTCGCAGGCCTACGAGAAGAAGGGGTGTGACTGTCTGTGAGGCGAAACGATGAATAATTACAACGACTCAGGTTTTTACGGGAGTGTCAGTTTATTTTAGAGTCATAACCATCAAGGGGAATGCACTCTGTCTTTGATGAACGAATCTTTTATCTTCACTCCTTCCACTGCTTTATTCCGTTCTTCTTCCCTTCACCCCGTGAAAACTGTACATGATAATTAGCATAACAGGAATGCATAATAAGTATGTGTTCATGAATATAAGTTTCACAATATTAAAGCAGCTATAGCATTCTATTAAATCAAAGGCATTGTCTGAATTCAGTGTCTTACTCCTTTCCATGTTTGCTTGTAAAGCTTATAATTATAAGTCAGACACTTGACAAACCTCTTTGAATTTCATATAGAATGTCATAGCTAAGTAACACACAATTAAACTTATATCACCTTTATCATATCTAATCAGATTTAACACGGTTTCAACTCAAAATATGACCATATTTAACGATCTTAAATGACTTTATCATAGTCAAGGAACACAATAACAAAGTCATGACCTTGACCTGTCATTCACACAAATATTCTCACATTCCTCATCATAGAATGTCTTCTTTTGCATCATACGTTTAACTTGACTATTTCTTTCAACTTTAAGCAGAACCAAAACATCAATTATAGATGTAATGACATATTAAATGTTCAATAGATATCTCTGGTAAGGTAATTGTACTATCCTATGTGTGGGTACACAGTTTACACATGTTC